CAAAAACTTACATATAAACATTCATTACACTTTTATTTGTGAAAGTCCCAAACTGGAAAAAGCCTAAAATTCCTCAATGGGTGAATGGTTAAATAAACTATGGCACTACTGTACCATACAATGCCACTCTGCCATAAAAACAAAACTATTGCTACAAAGAACAATTTGGATAGATCTCAGGGAGTTATTCTGAGTGRAAATGTCAATTTCAAAAGGTCATATACTATAGGATTGCATTTATATGATATTCTAGAAATGACAAAATTCTAATAATGCTAAACAGATTGGCAGTTGCTAGGGCAGGGAGTGGGGTGTGACTAAAGGGGTAAAACAAAGGAGATCTTTGTGCTAGTAGAAGAGCTCTTTATCATGTTTGTGATGGTAGTTAAAAGAATCTAATCTAAATAGAATTATACCCAAACATTGTAGTAATGTAAAATTTCTGGTTTTGTTATACTATAAATATTTAAAATGTAGCTATTGGTTGAAATTGGGCACACTGGGACCTGTCATTCTCTGTGACTTCCAGTGAGTCCATAATTATAAAGAAATATCGGTTTCCTACATGCTAGGTGTCATCATAACCCTCTGCAATTATAATCCAGGCAGAAGCCCACTTCTGGCATCCCAAAGTTCTTGCTGTTTTATTGATGACATACAACATAAACWGTTTCTTGTTATGCTTATTTTGTTGTATGTCTGAGCTTGTCTCCAAGTTCACTGTGGTAGGATTTAAGTCTTGCCCACCAGATTTCAGAGCTGTTATCAGAGTGRTTGTTTAATGCATGTGAATTTAATGTGTGCAGTGAGTCAGTGGGGACTGTGAGACTGTGGTGCCAATGGCTTCTGTGMAGCTGAGCTTCAAGTGAGGGAGGGGACAGATAATTACACTCTCTAGGGAGGTAACTGGGGCATGGGTGAGTCAGTCCTGGGAGAAACAATTTKCCCTGTGGCCTCAAGATTCCCTACACAGTCCTTTTGGGTATGCTCTGAATGTAAGGTCCTGACCACTCTTTGCTAGTACTTTTTCTCAGGGTTGTGTTTTAGCAGCAACATTGGAGGATAAAAAGTTAGTATAAAAAGAGCTGGGGATGCAGCTCAGTGGTAAAGTGCTTGCCTTACATGCAAAAGGCTCTGAGTTTGATTCCCAGCAAGGGGAGGAAAAAAAAGTGCTTAACCTTCACCCCCAAGAAAAAGCAGGCTTGCATACTGCTGTTAAAATATTATTAAACTCTGAGCTTAGTGCTCCTCAGCTTCCATACAAGTCCACTGCCGATGTAGTATCTATCAGGATCCCTCTATCTTGCCCCCTTGGGACTTGGGAAGTTCTTGCAGCTTGACGGTGCCATGAGTCCTCTGTCTCTAACTCATGAGTCTTGTCAGCTTCCATGAAACCTTGACAGGCTCATTTGTTAGACTGCAACTGACATAAAATTCCAGACCCTGTCAGAGTGGTTTTTBTGAGAAGCAGCATGCTGTTCTGGCCTAGTTTTAGGCTCTAACCAGAAAGTCAGTACCTCAGGTGGTTC